TCAGAAGGCATCTTCTGCCACCTCATTATGAAGCTGAGCTGCAGATTTTTGACCATGCTAGTCACTGTTAATCACCTTGTTTATTAACAGGTGAACCTAGAAATTTTTCCACAGGTATTTTATTAAACCCCAAATTGTGAAGTTTTTATGGATTTAAGTGACTAATCTAAAACACTTTATTCTTTTGCACATTTCGTTGCAGACATTTAGGGCGTGCAAACAAACGAGCTTTTAATGGTAATGGTGCTGAGACCTGTGCAACCTTGTTGGTTCGGACTCGAGCCTTTTGAATCGTCGTCCAAGGAAGACAACTTAAGTATTCAACGTATTTGAATGCTTTACCATTCTTCATACTAATTTGTTGGTTGTGCATTTGGCAGTTAATCAACATTTTAACGCAAAATAAGAGCTAACGGCTGACAGGAGATAAAATTCGGCTCCACATCATCTTATCGAGTCAGAAAATTAGGCGCCTGTCAGTGAAATACTGCACTGGACTGGCCTAAAGTAAACATACCATATGAAATAGGAGAAGAACCGGCAGGTTAGCAGGTCTCCGTAGGATTATTATATCGGTAGCCAAAAGTGTAACAAGTGCAATGAAAGGAAACACAGCGGTATTTGGTGCCAAAAGTGATGAATGATGTGATGTTGGGATCGTCTCATAAATGCCCTGGAATGAATCACATGACAGATCTCTTCGCCCATTTCGTGACAAGTCACAAAGTGATATAGTGATGAAAAATCTCAAAGACAGCCAATAATTTCTTTACTAACGCAGCATAATTACCAGGATGTACTCTTAAAATGCAAGAATCACTGAACAACTCACTCATCAAGTACCCTCACAAGTTACATTGTAACTACATTAAAAAAATCCCATGAGTGGGGTTTGCTATAGCGATTTTTTTGTGGGATCGATGCGTCGAGAAAACCGAAGTATACGAAAACTGAAGAGGTATGCACAACAGACGAGGATTATACACTGCTCATTCCCTCAAATTATCACAATTACTTAGTTGTTGAAGATTGCAAGGTAGCTGGTTTGGTTATTTAATGCCAAAGGGGTGGGCAGCTAATACACGAAATGCCATGATACATATGAACTTTCCTGCACTTTTCTGGAGACAATTTGATATGTGAGAAGACGACAAATTATGGATCGTGAATGACTTGATCGGAGCATTAAAAAATGCAAAATGGAGATCGTGGATAAGTGAAAACAGTAAGCGCAATTTATACAACTGAGGAGTTAAGTAAGAAACCTATCAAAGCACATAATCAAGCTTTATTTGGCAGTTGAAAATCTTTTCATTGCTTGATGCTCTCCACATAAATGCATAATGGCCTGATTGAGGAAGGAAATGGCGCTTATACATGAGGGCATTTCCATTTACTCTCAATAGTCACTAAGTTTTGATAAGCAGTACCTCATATAAAATGGTCTTTAAACTTGTTCTCTGGAAATTGTTTTAATTCTTAAGCTCATCAATCAGTTGTGTGACTCTCAATGTTAGTTAAGAGCCACTTGGGATTCCATAATTGTACTCCTGCTAAGTGGGATGGTCTCCTTAGGCCGCTGGTCTATTGTGTGACATCAGTACACTTTCCTACTGCAAATACCTACTTTCCTTATTTTCGGGAAAGACTTGGACTCTGCGTTGATGATAGCGTACAGTTAGCCTGAATTTTAACGACAACTCTAATGACGTCTGCTACGCTACACTTAACCCGAACTTGCTCAATGAAGGAATCTGTGACCACTCCCAGCATAATAGCCAAAAATAACTTCCATCTCTGTTACATACTCGAACTCCGTAGCCAGATGGATGGATACGGATCTGCAACGCTAAAATAAGAACAACTTTGCAAAGAGGAGCCGATACAAATTCCTATATCTTAAGAATAATTTCAAACATCGTCTCTCATTAAGTGATCCCACTTCTGGGCCAGTGGGACTGCAACTAGCGATGAAATTACAAAATCACCATAACATTCCCCCTGCCCCTCTTCCTCCCTCACCTTTATAGTTCATCAATCAGAATGAATGTTCCTATTTTAGAGGAAACCCAAGAGGATGTTGCGACTTTGCAGTCTTGTTATTGGGTGGTGAAAATTTTCACAGCACTGGCCGCGTTTCGATGACTAATGTTGGAAAGTGACCATGCAGGTCGATGGGAGAAGATCCCAGAAGGAGAGAAGGGCTTCATGACGCCGTAACCGTTAGTCCAAAGATCAATCGTGCTTACAACCCAAGAAGGACTTCTTAGCCTTACACTAGTAACCTTAACTCCGAACCTTGACAGTTACTTCGAGGTCCTGCTATGCGTCAGACACTAGCAAAGCCTCAGAGGACTACATAATCCACATCCACCATTCGATAACCATCAACTTCACTAAAGAAACTGCTCTCTATCTATCCAAGGCTCCTACCCCTGACACTAAAAGTGCTAACCTTTTAGGGGAGTATAAGAAAACCTCCTTTTTACAATGTTTGATGACATTTGCAATGTAAAAAATGGCGTAAATGGGGCAAAATAGAAGCCAAACTTCGCCTCTTGCTATAGCAGTAAGCACCTATATTTGATGATAACCAGAGGCGCAATAACACCCTCTATGCGCAGTGTTAAGATGGAGGTCATAGGAAAATAAATTAAAGGCAATCTTTTAGCCTAATTAATTTGAATTCGACATACAATTATGCTGAGTCTTCAGCGTGACAACAGAAGCGTGATGTTGATTTCACCTGATTGGAAGCGCTCCCATGGGCTGCGATGTGTACGTCGCATAAACAATTGATGCAAGAATGAAGGAATTCTTCAATCTTTATGGCAAATCATAGTTGACAATGAGTGTATTTACCACAGTACCGGTATCAGGTGATCATTACGTAATAAAGGAAAGAGGCTCAACCAATCCGTCATCGACATATTTTAAATTTTTCGTAAAAATCTGCATATGCCTCAAATTTCACAAATTATGGTATCATTGCACTCACATCCATTCACAATCCATGAACCTTGTATTTTAGGTTCCAAAGACTGTTGCATACGGAGAGAAGCAATCAGCTCCCTAAAAGCCCCGTTCGTAATCGAACATTGGCACGCCACACTCTCTAAGAGGGTGCCATTAGCACCGCACAAGACCGTCAATACCATGGATAACGAAACCGCTATGGCTTCAGCGCCTGAATTGCATCACCGTCAATGGGTCGACAACCTGATGCTTTATGTATGATCAAGTGCTATGCCAATCTGAATACCGCAAGAGGAGGGGAAGTCTCAATTGTAAACTGATGCTAGCATTATTTTCCTAAGGCTATACTTCTATAAACAAGTCACCAAACGGAAGTCATCATCTGAATAGGCTACATTGCATGTAGTGAAGAAAATCCACCATCCTTTGTTGACTTACCAAATATTTCTTTAAACACGAGCATCTTCTTCAAAAATAGTGTAAAAAAAAACGATTGGTAAACGCCAGCCCTTTACGGCTGTTTTTCGATTTTTCTTCATGTGGACGTAGTGTATGGGCTCGACCGGGTGGACTGTAATACAGCAGCAGTTAGATCTTAGAAGTAATCTAGACAATTTTGCAGAAACACACCCCGCATAACTTCAGAGCTACTAATCACAAGCGCAGGCCGGAGACCTTAGCTATCAATGTCTGTCCGGAATCATCCACACTCGTCATCACAAAAATGTGTCAAACAGCAAAATCATCATCGTCATTATTAGAACGCAAATTAGACAAAGTAAGCAAAAGCCGAAATATATAGGAGGGGTTTGTGACAGAAGGGGTCTTTCGGTAGGACAGGGAGACAGAGTGAAGGGGAGAGAAGAGGTGGGGAAAAAATATAGGGAAGAGGAAGAGCCGAGCATCTTGAAATGATTGTTGTTTGTGTAGTCTGTGTACAAGATAGAAGAGTGGAATCGATGCATGCGCGCATTGAAGCAATATCTATGGGTTATTTACTGATTAAAGAAAAACAATAGCATTGTAGATTATCTCTGTTTGAGACGAGGCCTGCGTTTTAAAGTGCGGGGGGGGGATGGAGGAAGCGTTTGAGAAGTGACCACAGTATGTGAAAACCCTAACTTTGAAGGAGAGGAGGAGGAGGAGGAGGA